GAAGATGCGTCGCTACCCTTCATAATCTTGGCAAGGCGGTGTGAAGCTGTCGCAACCTGAACGGGTGTTAATGGCTTGTGACCAAGTAGCCACAGTATCCGGTCGGCATCCCGGTAACGAGATGCCAAGCGCAACGCGTCTTGAACCGACATGCTTTTGTGGGGTAGATCAACACCATCACACCATAGAAAACATATCCGGAACTGGGTGCCCAAATTGTTCACGTACAGTCTAACATCACGGAAAATGTGCGGTCATGCTTTGCGTACGACGCGTGCCGCGAGCGGCGTTTGCACACCTAGATCACTACTCGTGTAAGAACGGAAGTTTGCTGAGTGAGCCTTCACAGCTGCCAGAGGACCTGCTGCATGCGCTGCCACAATAGGGCAATCCACACACAGAAACAGAAGCGAAGCGTAGTGCATGCACGATTGTGCATGTAGCAGAGCATGCTCTACACTCCTCTACAAGACTACAAGACTACAAGGGAAAACATCCCCCAACACCCAGCTTCTCTGCAAAGCATTGGGCGAGCCTGTCAAAAATAGTCCGCCGCGCCTTCGAAGGGAGGGGAGAGCGACATCAAGCTTCTAAACTTCTATTGGGAATTTCGCAAAATCTTGCGCTCTGTCTTCAGTGACGACCGACAACTGCGCACTGCCACCTGGTTTTGCCGACGGTAGCGTCCATCAGCAGACTCCCGATGGGCCTAAGGCGAGAGAGCATTCGTCTTCAGGAATCCATTTGTTGATGCCAACTGAAACTTCAAAATTGTTGTTTGTCAAGTGCTGCAGCCGTGGTATCTCCACACTGCTGGATGTCAGATGCGTACTTCGAGCCGTCCAGCAAGTTGAGCCAGTGAATGTGCCACCAAAGGCAAGAAAACACACACACACACACACACAGACAGAGACACCACCTTACTCATTTGATCGAGCTGGGGGCGGTCTGGTGCATCTCCTCCAGCAACTGGGTCCCCATGCTCGAACTTGGCAAGGGGAAAGGTCAGGCCACTGAGGAAAAACACGAGAAGTTCCCTGAAGCTACGACCGTGAAGGTGAACTATGGCCGATGGCCTTCCGGTCTCGTGATTGTGATCCGTCGCTTTTCATGCTTGAGTCAGTGTCCAATTGTGAAAGCAAGCAAGCGTGCATTTTGAGTGTGTGGGCCTGGGGTTATGGGCTCATCGGTTTGTCAGTTTCTGAGAGTCTGGCATAGTCTTGATCTCCTTGCCTGGGCATGCGCAGATCATTGAACAGGCTAGGCTCATATCTGACATCTGCAAAAATGTGGGGTTGTGAAACGTTGCTGCAGCACTACAGTCCTCATGCAACATCCGAAGGCAGCTGTGCAAGCTACTTGTATGGAGCGACAGACACATGACCACCACAAATGGAGAAAGACACACCATGAAGCATCTCCCCACCCTGGTGATCTGCAACTCCCTCCCGAGAAACATGCAAAAAACATGAACACATGAATCACACCCTGTCAGTAAGAGCATGGCTCCACCGGCTCTTTAGAACCAGCTTGTCAAGGCCTGCACTACACGGATTGCGGCCCTGGCCTTGTTCTTATGGTTCAGAATTGGGATGCTCCCCCTGGTGGATGATAGTACGCCCTCGTATAATCCCTATTAAGGACTGTTCGTGTAAGTGGGAACAGCCCAAGTTAAGTACAAGGCCTGTAGGTAGAATTCTAGGCCTAGGCCTGAGAGGTCAATGCGTCAAGGTCACCACCACAGCCACCAGCAATACTATTCGCGCTTAGCGTTTAAGGCTACAAGCATGGTACCCTTAAAGAACAGGCTTCGCACTATTCAAAACGGAAGCCATCAGAAACCCGGCAGCCTGAAATTCCCAAAATGCTGCGTCAAACCCTTTTTGGTTTGCAGTTTGCATGGCATCTGGCCTCGTAGGCTGCGGATGAAGAACCCAGCAAACCTTAAAGGATGGCCGTCCTCAATGACAACATTTTCCCCCCTGAGCCCCCAAAAAACGCACCTGACGCCCGGCTCTCTTTGCTGCCTGACCGGGGATGTCATGTCGGGCATCAATCATTGGGTTCAGGGGTGTTGCTTCCACCGGAATCCCAACATCCCAAGAGTCCAATAGGGCTTTTGGGGAAGGAACCGCCATCACCCAGCACATTGGTCGTCATTGACAAGGTCTGCCATTTCGGGTTGTGGGAACCGGGGCTTTCGGGTCTAACTGGTTAACCCTTCTCCCTGCCTGCAGCCCTTGTCATGAAACATGGATCAGAAACCTCAAGCTGCACCGTCACTGCAACTTGCAGGGAAAGAAAGACTCTCATCACTCAGCAAGAAGATGACAGCGCGCGGGGCGTCCTCATTCTAACCTCTGCCGCAAACCAACCCATGCACCATCATGCACCTCTCAGTTCCTCAAGCCTGCAAACACCATGCATGCGAGACCGCGTGAAGCAGGCGCACCTGCGAAACTTGGCCGGCCGCTGGCTTCGGATAGCCGCGTCAACAGGCAAGGTGCCCCTGTCCCGCGAGCTTGGAATCGAAAGGAACAAGGAACCTGTGCCCTGAATTCGTAAGGCTGGCTGTACCAATCCTGCAGCCACTCTGCAGCCTCCACCAGATGGCTGTGGGAACTACAAGCGTTTTTTGAATCATCCTGTGGTGCATAAGCTCAGTGAGGGTTGGGTTTGAGACCTTCCATATGCCATGGGCTTGGTCGATGTGCACAATATGTAAGACATGCAGAATGCAGGGGATGGCATCGGCAACAGGCACACAAAACCTCTGGTCATCTCGATGTAAATATTCAGTGCCGGAAGATTGGACATGCAAAAGACATGTTTCGGAAGGAGCATCTCACGCGACAGGAAGCAGCAAATGCACAGGATATTGAGGACGGTTGGTCTGAAGACATGTAGCTCAACCCAGAAACAACTCCAGGTTGCCAAATGAGATTGAAAACATTGGTCAGTCGTTATATACTCACGCCGGGGCTGCTAAACCACAGCCTTGGATCATCGAGCCCGGATCCACTTCGGTGAGGCTGATGCCTCAGGGTTCACAAACAATCAACCTTTCTAAATCTCAGTGTCGCTCCATTCTACCATGCAATCTGAAACGAAGACCGAGCTCATTCAAGATACCAAGTAAGCTTAACCTTAAAGCCTTATCCGAGTCATTGACGGAACCGACCCCTGGGACCCTGGATTATTCCAGCTGCGCCGCCGCTGATACGGGGGAGACTGATTGTGCTCACGCGCTTCAAGTTCGTGCTGATCCGCCGCTCAGACGTCTCCTCACCCCAGCCCAGGAATGAATTGAACCAACCCGATGCCTGCCATGTTTTTGCAGAGCCTCAAGTATACCCGACCACCAGTGTCCATTGCACCAGTGCAGCTTGCATGTAGGCAATGCAAGCATCTTTGCTACACCCCATCTCGAAAGATTTGCGTCCGCACTTTCAGCTCCCACGGAATCCTTCGAGTATTCCGGAAGCACCTGTGCGGCGAGGCGAGACAACATCTTTCTCTGCGATGGCTGTGGCCACATGACGGTGCTTCTGGAACCCTCACTTGCATGATCTGCGAATACCTCACTGTTTGAATTCCCACCTCGTCATCAGCTCCAAGATCCCCTGTCGAGTCGACGTCGAGCCTGATCGAAAAAATTCTTGGAAAGGAAGGAATACTCATGCTTGTTTGAAGATGGGATCATACCCGGCTCATTCACAACACAACTCTGGACCAAACAAGTTGATCGCTTGCTTAAGGACCTGTGCGCAACGGATGTTACCAGACTGAAGCATGGCAATAAGCACCACCCAAGCGAGCTCAAGGGCCCAGCTCAAACTCTTCTGGCAACTTCAGCTGCAGGCGCAGAAACCTGTGTCAAGATTCAAGGGCAGCAAAAGGTTGCAACCCACAAGGCCTGGGAAATTTTGTGGTGCGAGTGTGGAGGAAGGATATTCTGGCGCATGTGTGCCCCTCAATTGGGCAGGGCTCTGGTGCTGCAAGCCGAGGAAAACATGTACGTACTGCGGCAGTTTTCCGCCGGTGCTCACCAAACCCTCGGAGTTCATTACCATGCTAGACAATATGAATCCTAAACCACCCAGAAAAAATCTGCGCCGAGGCGCTGGTTCTCTTTCCTCAGTCGCTGGTTCTCTTCAGTGAGCCGAGCCACCTGTCCTGGACGAACAGAACTACACATTCCAACCTTACATCTAAGCTTGAGGTTTTTTGAAAGGCCAAAATCTTCCTTGAATGGATGAGTGGTGCAAACATCCTAGCAAGTTGTTCGGGCTTCCGAGGGCTGCATTTTACGAAGGATGCCATACACGCAAGATAGGCTCAGGCCACTACACACACACACACACACACACCTTTGCTCTTCCCTTCTGAGGCCCTGACCATCGTGAAGCTCAAGGAGCTCTGCAAACTTGGTGCCGACCAAAGGGGCCATAGGGAACCTGGGAAGAACTCTAAGCATGAAGTGCCTGTTGTGAAGCCACTAAAGGGCCAGAGGGAGGAAATGCAAACCTGCCAAAGCGCCCGATTCTGGACTAGGCCAGCGTGCGAAAACGTCGTCTTCTTGATTACGGTTGCGTAGCGGGAGCATACATGTCATCGTCTACGCTCTCAGTAGGGGCTTGTGTGAAGTGGGGGAACGACTCGTAACAGCGGCGCCTGCGGAGATGCCAGAGCAGAGCGGATGCTACGAAATGCTGTCTCTGCCCTTTCTCACGATTAGGGCCACAACTGAGAACGCTAAATTGAAGAGAGTTGCTGATTACTTTCAGATGCAACCTGGCATTGCCAACATAGCGCTTTTGGACCATTCCACGACTTGACGGGGAGAGGCTACGGGCAAGCGGCCAGTGTGTCAGGCTTCCGCAACTTCAAATTTCCTTTAGTGTGTGGTGAGGAGGCTTCCTGCAAGGCTAATGGGTCTGAAGTCTCTGCACTGACTTGCCCTGTGTGCTCTCGCCATGGGTCGCCCTCTGTGGTGTGTCCTGCATCAGCGCTTTGATGCCGTCCAGCTTGACTCCCTCGTACCTGCGACGCTGGCGCAGGGCGACCAAGGCATTTCTTCCCGGCATCATCAAAATGGATGCCGCTCAGGGGCGAGATTTCCTAATCGCATGACTGGCGTCCTCACCTCCAGAAATGATGATCGGCGTCGACCGAACTCTTGTTCTCTGAGAGCGTCCACCTAAGTCGACGGAAAAGCCCTATTCTTTCGGTCGACGGCCCGAAGCTCTTAAGGCCCTGGCTCTTCTGGGGTCATGCCCTGGAGCATCTGCAGCGTCTCCTCCAACAGGGGGGTAGCTGGTAGTTGGAAGTAGTTCCAGGAGGATGGGGCGCCCCCCTCTCGCAGGATCCTCCGCTTGATTGGTGGGCAAGAAGTTGCTGATTTGGATCAAGCCACCTGCCTGAGGCGAGCAAAATCCATCAACTCTGATCTATTAAAAGTAGCCATGGGAGTGGGCACGAGGACTGGGAACTGCCATAACTGCTTCAAGTTTCGGCATTGGGAAAGACTCCACAAACCATGCTCACGGTGATATTTGAAGCAGCCCCTGTGAAAGGGTTCCCTCTGCTGTAAGATCTGGCCCAGCCTCCTCCAACAAAGGACGCCTCGGAGGATGGAATTTTGTAGTAAGTTTTCTATCGTAACACCCATGAAGTAGAGCACCATGCAAGAAGTTAGAAGGCACCGTGCCGTGGCTATGGAAATGCGAGGCAACGGCCAAGAAGACACCAGTCGGCACCACACTGTTAACCTTAAACCCGAAAACCCTGCCTAACCCCCGACAATAAAATAGCAGTCCTCTCACTTCACTTGCAGCTCCGTCATTGCAGCCGAGGCGCAGCCCCTTCGAGCTAACACCCTCGCGAAATTTTTCCCCCGTCATGCGTTGCCTCAAACACCGTTGTTGGATTTGGGGATGTGAGGTTTAGGGTTTGGGCGTTTAGCTTCGGGTTTAGGGTGTTTGGCACACTTCTCGATTTGTTTAGGGATTTTGGTTTAGGGCTTTAGGGTTTGATTCGCCACTTGGCCGTTCGGGTTTGGCATGAGAAGCGCTGCTGGCATCAGTTGAATCTGGACATTGCCGGCTGTTGGGCTCATGCGCTATGAATGGTGACTGCCAACCCAACAAAGGCAAAGCAAGATTTGCCCCGAAACCCTAAACCCCAAACGCTAAACCCTAAACCCTAACCCTAAAACCCTAAACCCTACGGGCTCCAAGGGGGCGACCATGGCGCTGGTACCCGAGGAGGACTCAGGGGCACCTTGGACATTGAATTCAGCCAAATAGTAGGATTCCCTTATTAAGAGGCAACCAATAAGGGACCCCTAATTTCGGAAACCCCCATTTCGGAATCCCTAACGTTGCCTCATCAAACTGGTACGGTCTTCAAGCCAGGACTCTCGGAGAAGTGACAGCAGCTTCAGTCTACCAAGAGAAAGTGCAGACTACCGGCAAGAACGGCAACAGGCGCGACGGCTTTTCCTTCCAGATCTGCCCACTGCCAACCCCTTCGGTTCACGTTGTCCTGGATTGACGCCACGTAACCATTGTAGGACCTGAGGCTTCTCGAGGCGCATCGCCCCCCTACTCCATTGCAATCGGACTTGGGACGTGCTGAGGTAGTAAGAGACTGCAACAGTCGAATCGCAACCCGGAAGTTTGAACGCGGCGCACCTCCGCATCCTAAGTGGCGACTACACTACTATAGGGCTATTGCATTCCCGCTGGGTACCCAACCTCCAGCTGGGAAGGTGCAGCCTGCACAAGTTGCTTCTGCAGCTTAGGGATTCTACAGGAGGAAACTGCCAGAAGAGCTTAAAAGGCTCCGCTCGACTCTGCCTCGCTGCGTAGTGCTTCATCGCAGCGTAGACCTCTTCGGCCGGGGCCTCCTCTGCCAGCAGATCCCCACAGACTTCATTTCCGGAAACCCATGGAATCCCTACAGATATCAGAGTGAGAATGCGCTTGTCGCCGTGCCACAGAATCAACTCGTCGTGGCACTGATGCAGCTGGCAGGCTCTCTCCCCTGATACGTAGCCTTCCTCGTGAAAAGGACTGCTTAATACAAAACCCATGTAGAAGAACACTCAAGATTTCAGAAGATACTTCTCCCAGATCACCTGAAGGCTGCCTATTCGTCTACCCAGCCGGCAGGAACTCAGATCCTGATGGCCGATGAGACCCTTGGCTGCGAAGTTGAGCCGGAGCCTTGGCGTCACAGCTCGGCACGTGATGGTTAGCAGACTTTCGGCCACTGCAGCTCAGAACTCCGAAGCTCCCTTTTTTTGTTTGCGCAGTTCAGCCGGGATCCCCGGCAGCCGATCCCCGGGAGCACGCCGCCACGCGCCATAGATCTTCTTGGACCTTTGGGCAAATTGTGTAGTGGTCGCTGTGGAGTTCATGGGTGTGCAGCATAGAGTTTTCATGAAGTCGACAGCACAGCTTGCTGGGTAGGAGACGGCGCGAATACGCATTTCAAATAGACCAAGCGTCGAAGAGGAGTTACAGTTTAAAGGGTAATTACATCAGCCCACAACGCGGCAGCGCAAACGAAACCCCCCAAAAGGGCGGGGATGGCCTGAGTCCGGTCTCAAACGGGCTCCGGCCGCAGGTTGAGGTGCACACTCGCAGCGGGAGTACACTGCAGTTTTGGGGACGCCTTTGCTAGCTCTTCTTATGGCTCTGCGGATCACTGCTGTTGATGGCCTGAGCCCTAAACTATGCCCTAATCATGTTAACCCGACATGGCCCTTGCCAACCCTGCGGCGCCAAGAGCAGGGCAGAAGGGCCCGGCGTAGCAGTCTTTCACGATCTACAAGTCTCCCTGCACATGTGGTGAGAGGGGGGAGAGTCTTGGAGGTGAGCCTGTGCCCCAAGGAAATCAGCCTGAGGCTCGTGAGCCGATTTTCTGGAGCGGGGCCAGGAGCTTTCAGGGTGCACCCCCCAAACCCACTACCGAACGGGTGGCGCCCGGGGCATGTTTGCCGTCTTTTTCTTCAATCTCGCAGCATGGCTTTGGCTGCCAAAAAGTTCGGTCGCACTCCTGGTCGGACAGGATTCTGCCTCAGCAGAATTGGAAGAAACATGTGACCCATACATGCCTGCCGCTGCTCACATCCTAGACTGCTATCTGCTTCGGCCTTATCGTCGCTGAGGTGTCTCGTCCTGTCTAGCCACTGCTAGCAAGCAGACTATTACAAGTTGCGCTGCGAGCTGTGAATCCACTGTTCGTTTGACAAAGGGCAACTCCTAGCAGCCCGCTGATTTTGATGTACTTCCCGTGGCCAATGCGTCCTGCGAAGAGATCAAGATGTCATCGATGTCCTCCTCGCCACCCGGGACTCGCATGTCTTCCACATGCCTCGGCTGATATTGGCCATGGCTTTGCAGCCCGGACGCCGAAAACGACTCAACATTGGACAAACCCTCGCAACCGACCCCTCCTCTCTTCCCAAACAACTTCTTTGTTCGTTGCAGGTTGCACAATGTGCAGGCCCCTACACTCAGATGCCCGCTTGCTGCGGATTTTGCAACTTTCAATCGCAGTGATTGCCCCCAGCACACCGCGCGGAACTGCCGGGGGCGGTACACTTCCACCACTACCATCGCCGGCGCACCCGAGCCACGCACGGCTCCCAGTGGGATAAAATGATGGGGCCTGAGGTCAAGAAGCTACCCTTAGAGGATCACAATGTAGTTACATGCACTCGCTTGAAAGAAGTTTACAGTATAGGCTGTCTAGGAACTACAAAACAGCCTAACATTCGTTCTGCAGGTGGATGGGTTTGCTCTTGGTCGACTAAGGAGCCGGTGCCAAACCCATCTAAACCGCACGGCGCCGCCTTTCGAAGTACTCAAGTGGTCAGTCCGGCAACGAAAAGGCAAGGACTGGAGCCTCGTGGCCCACAAGTACTTATCGAAACGAAGCCTCGATTAGCTCCTGCATTATCTGAAGCCCAAGCACCGATGCCTCAGGCCGAAGGCCTCGGGAGAATGTGGGCACTGTTGCATGCGGCCTCTGTGGCAAGCTGGGGGAAGACAGCTGCCAGCGAGGAACCAATGCCTCCTGCATGGAAGCCCTGGGTTACAAATTTGAGCTTGGGACGCTCAATGGACATCATCTCATCGTCCTTATGATTTATGTGTCCTTATTGCCATTATTGGATATAGCGTTCAAGTGGGTCGAGCTTCTCCTTTGCTGAGCTGTTTGCGCGTTGACTGTTTACTTGACTCTTGTCAAAGCAGCTTGCACCAGCATGTCTTTTTCGGTGTTATGCAGTTCGCCCCAAGCTTTCAGCACAACAGGTTTCGAAGGTGTGCTGCTCATCCCAGCAGTCAGCATTTCCGCCTGGACCATACCTGGGGTCGCAGCAAGCCGCCCAGTGAAAGCCCTCCCTCCAGCAGTGATCTCCCGGCAGCCTCTGCCCCAGCTTCCTCTTCGGGGACCCCAGTGGAGACCACCAAGACTGGCTGCTCTGCGTTACGGTCCTTGGACAGATCAACATGTACTGCCCATCCTCTGTCTCTCGAAGGCTACCGTTGGTGCAGCCAAACATTTCGTCCACAGTAAGTTGCGGGTGCTCGATGGCAGCTGAAGGAGTGGATGGAGATTCTTCCTGGGCGGGCGAGTCCCTTAGCTCAGCCACAAGGGCATTCCTGCGGGCACACTTTGTCAGGCGCGCACGCGAGATACGCTTGGCATGGGCGTACAGGCTGTAGTCGAAACTGTTCTTCTTTACGAAGCTCCGCCGCAGCGCCTCGACGTCGCCAGGTCCGAGCTCGGACTCCGTGGGAATGTCCAGCATGGCTTGATGCAGCTCATATGGGCGCACACGGGTCCGCAGCCAGGGCCGGGCCTTCTCCAGATCAAGGCCTATGGAACAGGCAAGCTGCAAAGCGCTTCGCGCGAAGTCCTCGGTGATAATGACCGTGGACATGCGATGGAAAAGCAGCGACTTCGCGAGCTCGTACTCCGCCGGTGTCAGCTGCGGGCCAGAGAGGTCTGTGCGATTCAACAGAATGCGCGTATAGTAGTTGTCGGCATAGACGTGCGGGCTCTCTGAGAGTCGAAAGCCCGGAACCCCGAGCACGCTGTCAATGTGCGCCGTAGGTGACCACCACCAGCCTACAGGGCCCCATGACTCCCATGCTAACCCCCCTTAAGAAACCCACACGAGCAGTCCGCGTCAGTCCACAACCATGATGGGAGCAGCTTTGTGGGGCGGGCTTACAGGCTTAGAAGCTTAGGGTTGAGGGTCTCTTCTCCCCCCCCCACGCCGACCTAGGATGTGGTGGTTGCCGGCCATGCACACTGCCAGCGCCTGCGTGTTCGCGAGGCAGGTCGCCATCTCGTATCTGGGCAAGAGCTTACCGGTTTATGGCGAACCCGAGACGAGCCACCGCAAGTCCTGGGTAGCCAAACCCTCCCGATCGAAAGCCGCGTATCAATGAAGAACAACACCTCACCAGGACTATGGGAGCAGCTAACAACATGGGATTTGAGAACTCGGAGCTTCGGCCTGAGCTGGCTCCAGAATCTTGACCAGGGGTCGCGCATGGCCGTGACAAATACCTTGGCTCGAGCTTGATATGCATCTAGGTAGACAAGAAATGACAAAAAGAGCACTACCCAAATCATCTCCACGAGCTCTTTGCACTCTGTCTTTCAAAAATGCTGAACCCTTGGCTTAACCCAGCTCCGGCCTCTCCCCAGGGCGTGCCCGCACCTCACCGCCTAAACGTACAAGCCCTCGGACTGTCCTCTGTGGCTTGAAAGCCCTGTTCATCCTGTCACGTGCACGCTCCTCTCGATGCCTTTTTCCTCCGCTGAGCAAGCTCAATGCACACTGCATCCTTGAAATCCTTGAAGCAGCAGAGACTACTTGTGAGGTTGCCAGGGCTTTGGAGCAGGAAACGCGTCATGAAGTACAATGGCCCCGTCCGAAAAAACTTCATAATTGGATAGGGCCGGTTGCCCTCGCCGACTGGAACCAGGCGGGCGCGGGCAACGGTTCAAATCAGGCTGCAAACTCCTTGTCGACGGACAACGCGGAGTTCACCACCGTGCGGCCATTCAAGGCCTGCGTGGGCCGGTTGTCGTCCTCTGTGAAACGGCTCTTGAAAGCCTTGATCGTCTCTGGGGTGACGCCGGCTGTGTTCTTGCTTACGTACCAGTGCACCCCTTCTGCGCAAGGGGGAGTGGTAAGGGAGCCCACGTAGTGGTAGAACTCTTTGAACTGGTCCCCGAAGACGTTGAGGTCC